CACGTCCCAACAGGTAGTCCACCTCCCAACAGGTAGTCCACCTCCCAACAGGTTGTCCACGTCCCAACAGGTAGTCCACCTCCCAACAGGTAGTTCACCTCCCAACAGGTTGTCCACGTCCCAACAGGTAGTTCACCTCCCAACAGGTAGTTCACTTCCCAACAGGTTGTCCACATCCCAACAGGTTGTCCACGTCCCAACAGGTTTTCCACATCCCATCAGGTAGTCCACCTCCCAACAGGTAGTCCACCTAAATGTGGACATGTTTGTCTTCCTTCACTCAGTTTGTCTCTCACTGCTGCAGAGATAAACCCAGAGTGTTGCACCCACAGCCCATTGTTCTTCTAGTTTAATTTAGAAAAACTGTTTCAAAATAAACACCTTTTATTAAGGGTGTAACGGTACGTTGGTACCGCTACAATTTAGTACGAACGGGAACAGTGACCTGACGATAAATACGTTAGTCACAGGTGAGGGCCATGCGCTGAGCTGATGAATGTTTGTTGACAGAAAATAAGCAGCAAAAGACGCTTTCTAAACTCTGTGCACCAAACAAAGCCTTGTTGGTTCAGAGTAACACACAGAAACTTAGAGAACTGCCTGTTTAATTGTGACTGGCTGTGTGGGCAACGCTGATTACAGGCCTCTGCAGCAGGGAGATGAGAGGTAGTATGGCAAGCAGTTGCATCATGTAATCAATGCCTGGAAAAAGTACAGTAGTAAGCCATTAGTGTACATATTTAATATTCCTGAAATCAAGCCCTGTTTTCTCTCACTAGCACTCAGCTAGCTGAGAGGTTTGTGCTTCACATTTTATTCATGCAAGTCATTTCTGTGTTGCTTTTTATTTTGCATCAAGTTTGATTAGGCAAATTATTAAAGCAAACTAGGGCTGCAGAAATCAGTCATTGTAGTCGACTAATCATTTATTCATAGTTCTAAACTCTAATAATAAATAACAACTACATAAATGTTGAAATGTTTTGTATTTCATCCAAAGGACTTCATTAGTCCAAGGAGCCACAACAAACTCAGTCCCATAAGTAGGAGGCTCACATAGTGGGCCAACCAGACTCCAGTGTACTACTAGTTTAAGTTAGAAAAATAGTGTTTCAAAATGAACACGTTCGGATGGCCCACTATGTGAGTGTGCTACTCATGGGACTGGGTTTTTTGTGGCTCCTCGGACTGATGAAGGACGAAACATTTCAACACAAAGAAACTGTCCAGAGGACTGACAGCGCTAGAAGGAGAAAACCCAAAACAGACATTGAAAAGTGTTTGAGCGTTTCACTGGAAACAAGCTAAAAGCTGAAGGCGGATTGTTAGAAGCAGAGCAGCACTGCTGTCCTCCGAGACCCTCCGGGAGCAGCGACGACCGCTTTAAGGAAGATTTAGAAGGAAACTTAATACGTCGTGTTGCCTCCGTTCATAAAAGATAATTGTGATGAAACTTGCATTAATTTGAAACACTTTTTTTTATTTTATATGTTTTGTACTTCCAGACCCACTTAGCCATTCTTGGTGGTATATTTGTATTTTTTGTTTCAAATGACAAAGATGACACATTATAATTTTTTTTACTTTTAGTGACGTCACATGAAGTAAAATTATTTAAAAAACAAACATATGCTTCACTGTTAATTTCCTTGTTTTATCTAAAATGTAAACAACAAACCTCTTTCAGGCCATCACCATCAAGAGAAGCTCCAGCGCCCAGGGAGGAGCAGGAAACTACGAGATCATCACCATCGATGATGACGAAGACGCCATCTTCAATAGTTCTAAGACAGCGGATGGTAGAACGTCTCGGAAAATAACCGCAGCGCACGTTGACGCCACGCAGTCGGGATACCGAACTGATTATCTGGCACGTGGAGGGGGAGGGGTCCAGCAGAGGGATCACCTGTCTCGATGCGGGACTCAAACTTTGGGAGGGTCGGTGAAGGTCGAGAGCGTGACGGCACTGCGCAGCACGCCGCAGTGGCTGACCGCCACGAGCGCCTCCTTGGCTTCAACCCCAAGTGTAAGTCTTTCTCTTTTACCGAGGTCATGATCTTAGGAGGTCCTCCAGTCTTCTGGACAATCAGCTGGACTCGGTGTAGCACAGACATGACGTTTCAGGTTCCAAAGTATCAGTTTCACTCTGATTCTCAACATAAGAGAAAGTTTATTGTGTTTCTGTTTTCTTTCCCTCCTCAGTCAGCTCAGCCCATAAACAGAGTCTCTGCCTATCAGACCATCAGCCACACGGGTTTTCAGGGGGGCAGAGCCCGGACCCCTCCTACTAACGACCCCCCGCTCCCACCAGTAACTGGACTGGCTCGTTTCCACCAGTCCCTGAGGACTCCCTACACCCTGAACCTGACGAATGAGCCGGGAAATCCAGATCTGAGGCACATCATTATAGATGGCAGCAACGTGGCCATGGCGTGAGTTTACACACACACACACACACACACACACACTATTGGTAACTTAAGATTCTTAGACTTTTGTACAAATTATAAAATGAAACAAGATGCAGAAAATAAACTGGAAATGTCCTGAAGAGTTATGAGATTCTTATTAAGACAGCTGGATTCTCATGAGCGCTGCAGAACCATAATCCAAAGTAAATCCTGCCAGGTTTAATGATGAAGGTTCAGGTTTTTAACTTGTAAACTTTGGGCCTGATGACCATCAAGAACTGGACGACCTAATCATTGATGGTCAGCTTATTTTGTCACGGGACGAACAGATGCTTCATGCTGTCACCTGACAGTATTTTTGAGTTTCTGTCCTTTTCCTTTAATCAAACTCTCCTTTATGTTTGTTTGATGTTCATCAAACTCACGTGTTTTCATCGACTTCTGGTATCAACATAAAGAAAACCATTCTGGTTGTGGGAGTACTGAAGGTCCAAATGTCCAGGAGACGCACCGTGGTCACTGAGGTCGATGTCATAGGCGTCTGGATGTAGATCAGGGTTCACCCACCTGTAATAATGATTACGTCACAGGTGTACAGGAGAGACCTTAACTTGAAAGCCAGTCGGGTTATTTTCCTCCTCATTGCTCCTTGACTGTAAGAAGTAAGTGGACCTTTGATGTAACGCGGTAGCTGACGCTGGAACGGGACCAGCTTACCTGTTGGTTTCAGTCCCCCCCCCCCCCATGTAACTGAGATCAGCGGACCAGTTGCTCCTCACAGTTCCAGGAACTCGTCTTAAGTGCAGAGGTGACAGGGCCTTCTCTGTAGCAGGACCAAGACTCTGGAACGAGTTACCTCTGCTTGTCAGACAGGCCTCCTCCCTCTCAGTTTTCAAGTCCCGTTTAAAAACTCACTACTATTCAGTAGCTTTCAACACCAGATGATCTGTGTTTGAACCTGTATGCTCCACACTGGTTAGTCGTCATTATCTGCATCGTTTTTATGTCTATATTCTGATTTACCTCATTTTGTATTTTGCTTTGTGTGTTACCTGTTGTTCTGTCTGTACAGCACTTTGGTTGGCCTTGTCGCTGTTTTAAGTGCTTTATAAATAAAATGGTATGGTATTAAAACCCAGCTCAGATCATGCTTTCAAGGTGTGACTTGTTGAGTCTTACAGTTCTTATCTTGCTGCTGTTTCTTTAGATATTCAGGCTTCTAAAACGTTTAGCTGAGAGTGGTTCATTCAGGTCTGAAAGAGGTCGTGTGACGTCATGATAGTAGGCGGGGCTTAAAGCCTCACATCGCAGGTGTGGCTGGTAATGAACCCTCGTCTGTTCTTCTGATATTTCAGAAAGAAAACAGCTGATATTTTCTGACAGTCATAGCCGGCTCAGAGTTTTTCTTCTGAATCAGTTTCTGTATTGAAATCAGAAGGTGTGAAAACAAGTTTGTGTCTCATCTGATGGCAAGTTTGACTTCATTTCCCACACCTGTGGTGCCTGTTTTACTCATGAAGCCACCACCCTTCCCATCAACACAGTCACCATTTAGGGTCACACACGTGCATACCACGCACACACCATCTGTAACGGTGTGTGGGTCCAACCCGTACTGTGTGGGTGTCCCAGAACCTCCACGTGTTGAGGCGACTCGTCACCTGTGTTGGACTGTAGAGTCCCTGGGGAAGCAGCGGGAGTAGCGTGGGGGTGTCGTACGGAGGTGTTTCTAAGAACAAAACTCCTTTTCTGGTAAAGTCCTGCATCTGTAGAAACTCTTAACAAGAACTTTGTTTTTATTTGATTCGCCGATTTATCGTCACAGTCTTCTTCATGGATGACCCGTCCTGACTTGTGTTACCACTTCCTGTCATGTTCCTGTTTTTTTCTCCTTCTTTACCAGAAGTGTGCAGAAACAGAAAAGACTGCTGCCCATGAAAGTTTAACTTCTGTTAATCTGACAAAACTAGAAACTTAAAAAACTTTAGAAACGTTTAACTTTTAATTATGGTTGCACAATATTAAGAAGATTTAATACCGTGTAATATTAAGTCCATCAGCTGTGATGTCATCATGATGCTCACAACTCCTCCTTCCTACTTTATCTTTTTGTCTGTCATCTTTTAAAATGTCTGTGACTGTTTGGACACGTACACATCTGAGTGTCCTTGGAACCAAAATCAAAACTACAGATTTGATCAGTTCCACGAAAAGCATGCGTTGGTATGAGATTTGATGAGACTATTTTTTTTTTTTTACAAATTATGGACTTACCATAATTCACGATGAGCAGCTTGTTTATTGAAGCTGAAGGCGGTTCTTCCCATTAATAGGTGCTGAGGAGACAGTTTCATGTTTGATGAAATTGATCATTTCAGACCAATCTCAAAACTTCCCTTTCTTTCTAAATCTTGGAGAAAATAGTTTTTATTCAATTAAATTAGTTTTTGAATGAAAATTGTATTTCTGACAATTTTCAGTCTGGTTTTAAACAATTACACAAGACTGAAAGTTAAATTTAAAGCAGTCTGCTCCTCAGATAAATAGTGTTGACTTATTATTTTTATATATGAATGTTTCTGTTCTGTGCCCTGAGATGACTTCTGTTGTGACTTGGCGCTATATAAATAAACTGAATTGAATCGAAGCAGGCTTAGTAAGGGTTTGTAACGACAATCTTTTAGCAAATGATTCTGGTCAGTCTGTGATCCTTGTACTCCTGGACCTTACCACTGCTTTTGACACTGTTGTCCACAGTGTCCTTACTGGTTCATCGTTAGAATGGTTCCATTCTTATCTGAGTCACAGGGGTTTCTGTGTTGGTAATAGTTTATCTGCTACAGTACCTATTTCCTGTGGGGTCCCGCAGGACTCTATTCTTGGACCCCTTCTGTTTTCATTGTATCTGCTCCCCTTGGGGTCTGTACTGAGGAAACATGATCTTTCGTTTCATTGCCAAGCTGATGATGGTCAGATTTCAAACCCAATAGTTCTTGCTCCATTCACCATCTGTTAAAATGTCTTAATTACATTAAGGATGGCTTCAATTTTTTTTAAGTTTCAACAATCAGAAAACTGAAGTCATTGTGTTTAGCCCCAGCTCTACTGCCGTCTCTGTTCCTGTAAACCTTGACTCTCTTGAGCCTCATCTTAAGCAGTCTGTTACAAATCTCAGGATGGTTTTACACTCTGACTTTAAGTTTAATAAACAGATTCACTCTGTTCTACAAAAAAGCTTCTTCCAGTTAAGGCAGATAGCTAAGCTTAAGTCTGTGTTGACCAGATCTGACCTTGAAAAAATAGTCCATGCATTCATTACAACCCAACTAGACTATTGTAACACTTTATGTTGGGGTCAGTCAGGTCTCCCTTTCACGTCTTCAGCTCGGCCAAAATGCTGCAGCTCGGCTCTTAACAGGAACTCGTAGGTTTGAGCATACAGTGAGGAAAATAAGTATTTGAACACCCTGCGACTTTGCAAGTTCTTCCACGGAGAAATCATGGAGGGGTCTGGAATTTTCATCTTAGGTGCATGTCCACTGTGAGAGACATAATATAAAAATAAATCCGGAAATCACAATGTATGATTTTTTTAAAATAATTTACTTGTGTGTTACTGCTGCAAATAAGTATTTGAACACCTGTGAAAATCAATGTTAATATTTGGTACAGTGGCCTTTGTTTGCAGCTCCAGAGGTCAAACGTTTCCTGTACTTTTTCACCAGGTCTACACTGCAGCAAGATTTTGGTCCATTCCTCCACAGATCTTCTCTGGATCAGCCAGGTTTCTGGGCTGTCGCTGAGAAACACAGAGTTTGAGCTCCCTCCAAAGATTTTCTACAGGGTTTAGGTCTGGAGACTGGCTAGGCCACTCCAGAACCTTGATATGCTTCTTACAGAGTCACTCCTTGGTTCTCCTGGCTGTGTGCTTCAGGTCATTGTCATGTTGGAAGACCCAGTCTCAGTCTAACTGAGGGAAGGAGGTCGTTCCCCAAAATCTCGCAATGCATGGCCCCAGTCATCCTCTCCTTAATACAGTGCAGTCGTACTGTCCCATGTGCCCCCCCCCCCCCCCCCCCAAAAAAAAAAAAAAAAGCATGATGCTTCCACCCCCATGCTTCACAGTAGGGTTGGTGTTTTTGGGATGGTACTCGTCATTCTTCGTCCTCCAAACACGGCGAGTGGAATTAAGACCAAAAAGTTCTATTTTCAGAGTTTCTTTATTGTCTTGTTTTAATTATTTATTGTCATATTGTCAAGGACATAATAGATAAAATAGCTGAAAATTGCAAAAAAAAAATCAGCTGCATGATAGGATCATGAAGATATCTTGAAAAAATTACATTAAAAAAAATTTAAGACTGTTTTTAAGATTACTCTGTTGTAATTCTCAAAACGGTGTTCTTGTAGTTGTTATTTCTGTTGTACAACTACCAGTTTGTGCTTTTTACAAATAAGTTTGTAACTATTTACGTTATTCTTTTATTATTTACTTTATTCTATATTTAACTACTATTACTTATACTATTACTTATAATATTAATTATAATATTTACTTTATTCTTTTATCAATTTGATGAAGAGATTAATCTGTCTGAGTCTTTTGGGAGAGGGGAGTAGCGAGGGATTGGGGGAAACACGTCCTGAGCTGCGCACCGCGCTGTTTATACCAACAGTTGTATTTTTTTCTTTGGGGGGTGTACAGAGACACAGCCGTGCACTGTTTGAGACACAGCCGTGCACAGTTTGACACAGCTGTGCACTGTTTGAACCAACAGTTTTACAGTTTTAGAGCAGGGGAAGAGGAGAGAGAGCGAGACACATCTCAGCTGCACGCTGTCTGTATTGACAGGTCTTTTAGGGGCGGGACGCCCCGCTTGTATGATGGTAGGGGAAATGCTGGGCTCCCTGTACGTACCAGAATTGATGTTAAAATTCTCCTGTTGACCCTTAAGTGCATTAACGGCCTTGCACCCTCATACCTCTGACCTATGATCGACCTTTTGTTCCTTCTCGGGAGCTGCGATCATCTGACAGCTGCAGGTTAGCTCAGAGGAAGTCTGGCTTTGTCAGTCATGGGCCCTAAAAACCTGTTTACGCTGACGTTTAACACATTGTGATTTGATTTAGTATTTCATTGTTTTTTATATTTTACTTTTGATACTTTCAATTACGTCTTATTTTTTCTTTAATTATTGCCTTTGATCTTATTGTTAAGTACTTTGGTAACAGCTGCTGTTTTAAATGTGCTTTATAAATAAATTTGACTTGACTTGGTGGACTGTCATGCCGTGCACATTTGAAACGAGGGGTTCATTCTGTTTTGCTCTTTGCTGAGATCCTGACCAGTTTATGTTCGCTGGTTTTTAGGCATCTTAGCACTCCTTCAGCAGGCTGGTTGTATCTCAGCTGCTAACGTGCCAACTCTCGTAGCTTGGTGCAAACATTTGCGTGAAAACGACGTTACGGTGGAAAGAGAAACTGGTGTTGGTCTTCTGGTGGACGAGCCATAACTGACTGAGTTCTCAGACCGATGGCATGTTTTTAAATGAGCCAAACAGTTTAGGGGAATTTCCCCTCAGCTGCCGTACACGACTGAAGGCTCAGAGCAACAGGTCCGGTCACGTGTCTCTATTATCTTGTTTCAGTGGTTTTAAAGCTTTTAAGTTCTGAAGGAGGAATGTAAATGTTTTAAACACGGGGGTATATTTGCAAACTGGTTTTCAGCACAGCCCTGAAAAGCGCGTTTGTTTTACTACACGCTACATCCACAGGTTCTAGAAGGAGAAACCTGAAGTTGATAATAATTACTTTTTATTGAGAACCGTCTGCAGCTGCCTGAACGTTCCCAGGGAACCTTTAGAGACCAGGATCTGACCTTGATCCTGACAGAAGCTGTTTTAGAGTTTTCAGCTCAGCTCTCAGATATTTCCCTTCATCAGATCACGCTCTGGAGACTTCCTGCTCGCATCATTTACGCCTCTTTCCTTCTGTTTCAGCAGGAACGTCCTGCATTTGCATGCTGACCCTGAGACAAAACTGTTCTGCTCGGTGGTTGGCGTGTACTGCGTGTTGTCAAGTCAGGGCGGTGAAAGTGAAACGGCCATATTTTGTATTTCCCCCCCACTTGTTAACAGATCGGTATCTTCACCATCAGATAGATGAATTCAGGTCAGAAACATGAGTTGAGTTTCAGCAGACTTCAGGTTTTCCTCTGTTTTTTTTGGATTCTGCTTTTATTTAAAATGAAACTACTGTTTCTTCTTGACTAGAGAAGATGACGTCATGTTTACCACCTGCAGTGTTCCTGCTGCAGCTTCAACCTGTTCCTTCATCCTACAGGTCCAACAAACTAATCAGGCCTTGCTTTAGGTTTGTCAGACTGACTTGCGTTAAAGGAAACATTCTGTCCTCTTCTTGATTGAGCATGCATCAGGACTAAGCCTGTCGCGATAAACGATAAATCAATTAATCGCATGATAAATGAAAAATTTCATTTATCGGCTTTATCGTTTCTTCGTGTCTCTCTTTCTACTGAAGACACTGGATGACAAAAAGCTCAACTCCGGTGCTCTTCACTGACCCCTCCCTTTCTCTTGTCTCTTTAAAATCTGTTTTAACCGTCCAAAATTGCGTTTTTGGATCGTTAAAAGCAGCTAAGCTGAGAAGCTAAGCTATGAGTTAAGGCTGACCTCAGGGGAAAAAAACTCCGTCTTGTCAAAGCTCCAAAATTCACAGTTGAAACTCGTGCCTTTGTCTAAAAAGTTGTTTTTCTCTACAAAAAGAAGCTGAGAACTTGTTTACTGATTTTTATTTTTTTTTATATAAAAAGCTTTGCGTGAAAAATGCTATGCTAAAGAGCTCAAACCACACCGAGCGGCTGCCATTTTGAGAACTGAAAAACAGGAAGGAGAGACAGCCCATGTCACGTCAAGGGGCCTCCCTCCCATTTTTCTTAAAGAGCCACGCTGCTCGCTCCCTCACTATCCATCCTTTGGTTCAAACAGTCTTTTTCTGCCATTCAGTGGTCAAAAAAGGTACTACACACAAAAATTAACCAACATTTTTTTCTTAAATTTGACAATAATTATTAATTATTGTAAAGTTTCAAACAATATTATCGTTTATCGCAATAATTTCTGAGACAATTAATCGCCCAGCAAAATTTGTTATCGTGACGGGCCTAATCAGGAAATTCTGTCCTCTTAGTGTGCTCACCTAAAGACTCACCCTGTCAATCACCTGTAGATCAACAGTTTCTGAACAGAACTCTGCACACAGACAGACACATGACACAAAGGAAAATAAATCAAATATTAAGTCATTTCAAGGTAAAAACATTTACGGAGTCACATTCTGATCCTCAAAGGTGGTCTCAGACAAACAAAGACAGAGGACACGAGTTCAGTGGACATTAGCTGGTCTTAGACTGATGGGGGCGGGGCCACAGTGTCTATGTCTGACCTGCAGGTAGGGCTTTTTCCAGCAGGATGATGTTCTGTTCGAACACACAGAGTGAGCCGGACCGGACCACTTGCAGATCTGTCTCTACATGTTAGGAGCTTCATGCAGAGGAGAATCCGAGGACCAGATGAGCTGCTGAAATCTGCCGGTCGGACAGAACAAACCCAGACTCGTCTGAAAACTGCATCAAACAACTTTTTATGAGTTTGTTCTGCATCAGATTCTAGATTTCGTTGAACTTCCTGCGTGGAGTTGATCAGTGAAGAAGTTATTTTGTAACTTTCTGTTAAATTCCAGCACGATTTCTGAAACGTGGTTTGTAGCAGGTAAAGCAGGTGTTTTCTGTCATGATGTCAGTTTTTCTGATGCAACTTATCCCGATTTTGACGCTGAAGGTCCGTCCCCTCGCGGGCTGCAGAGCTGGATCAAACCAGCAGCCGCAGGTTCTGCAGGAACGTGAACTCACATCAGCTCTGATGCTGGTCTGGGTCCTGCAGCTTCCTGCAGCTGGCGGGGAGTTTCTTCTCTGCTGTTTGTTTTGTGGTTTCTCTGCCCTGCCTTGCAGTGTGTTGTGTTGCAGCTGTGTGACGTGCGCAGCCTGACAGTGCACGTCAGCTGATGTTTGCCTTGTGTTTCTGGAAGTTCTGTTGAGACTAATTAAAGCTGGAGCATCTGAAGGTGTTTTATTTTGGCGTTGTTCTCACATCATCGTTTCCTCTGATGTTTGTGTTGTTTTCGGTTGCATCAGGGTCGCAGACACGTCTACGTGTTTGTGGTGGACTTCTGCTCCACAGTCCTCACACTTCAGTGTCAAAGTTTCTGTTTGGTTTTGGTTCTGCAAGCCACACACGGAGTCACCCAGCAGGAGGGTTTCATCATTTATTCACTTAACTCTTTTCTGTTGTTTTTACTAAATAAACTTTTATATTCTTCAGTTTACTCCTCACACTGCGTCCCTTTGCTTCCTCTTCCCTGCAGCCACGGTCTTCATCGGTTCTTCTCGTGCCGCGGCATCGCGCTGGCCGTGGAGACGTTCTGGAGACGGGGCCACAGGGAGATCACGGTGTTCGTCCCTCAGTGGCGTCAGAAGAGAGACCGACTGGCGACAGGTACCCACAGAATCATCTGACCTTCGAACACCAACATACAGACCAGATTTACTTTCTGTAAAACTTGACGCAAATCTTTTGATTATTAAACTCAAAGGAATGCATATCGCCCGCCGCCTTGCACACCACAGTTTGAAATAATGTTGTGAAAATGTTTTCTGAGTGAAAATGTCTTTGAACGCATCCGGAGGTGAGTTCTTGTGACTTCATCACACGATGAGTTTTATTTCACGTTATGTTTAATATTTAAAACATTCATGTTAGGAAAACCTCCCAACATTATACCTGAGTGCTACGATGGAACACAGAACCTGCCTTCTTCCTGAGTCTCCTCCAGTTCACTCCGAATTTGTCATTTAACCAGAACCTTGTTCAGACAGGTCATCTGGACAGTTTCTTTTTTTGCTGAGACGTTTCGTCCTTCATCCAAAGGACTTCTTCAACATGATGAGCCACCAAACAAACTGATTCCCACAAACAGGATACTCCATAGTGGAATAAACCAGTGATCAGTGGAATGACCTGAGTGAACATTGTTGGATTTTCACCTGGATTATTGAGCATGAACTTTGGTGCAATCAGGACCTTCCATGGCCATGACCCCATCATCTTCTTGGACTGTTTAGAGGCAGGAATCATGGTGTATGTAACCTTGGTTCTTTGACAAATATAATCTTTTTTTGTTGTTGTTGGGAGTTTACCAAATACAAGTAATGCTGGGTGTTCTAACAAGGTTGAGTCAGGTCCTCTGGATGGATTCTTCTTTTGGATAAAAGACGGAACGTCATGAACAAAGAAGAGTCTGTCCAGAGGACCTGACTCAACCTTGTTAGATTGATCTACCTGGATTATTCAGGACCATGCTGGGTGGTGGTCATTTTTTTCTGGATTATGACCCAGTCTGGGAATCCTCCAGATAAATTGTGCAACTAGCTGATTATGTCGTTTTGTCAGTGAGCATAAAATTCCCCCCTCGGCTGCTGTACACAGCTGAAAGATGGTTGGAGCAACAGGTCCAGTACCAGAGGGCGGAGTTAAAAATACTCCCCGTCTCTGTCACCTCATTCCAAGGCCTTTAAATTGAAGGAAACATTGATTGTGGTTTTACCACCATGAAACATGTAACTGGCCTGTTTTTACCAACTAAATTCTACAAACGGTTTTATTCCAGAGCAACACTTTCTGAACCAGCTGGAGGACCTGAGGCTTCTGTCCTTCACTCCTTCCAGAGAAGTCTGTGGTCAGAGGATTTCCTCACATGACGACAGGTAAAAACACCTGACACCTTTGACCTTTAACCTTTGCTTATCCCACCCGTGAGTTGGAGCAGCTGAAGCTGCTGGATTAACAGATTTGTTTTATAATAAACTCTCACAATCAAACCTCAGTGGTGCAACATCTTTAAATGGTTCCAGACCAGATTTTATCAATTCTCCAACAAAGCCTGAATCTCTGCTCCATCTAGGAACTAATTATTTAAAACCCACTTCTACTTCGTTACCTAATGTTTCCTAAGGCCTAAATCATTTTTACTTTAGGTTTTTATTCTTAACGTCAAAACACAACTTTATTCTCTTCAAAGGACTATTTCACTTTACAAACAGGAGTTTACAAAGACACAACATACAACACGATATACGACACACAACATCACAACACACAACAACATGACATACGACACACAACATGATGTAGGACACACAACAGCACAACATAGAACACACAACAACACGACATGACATAGGACACACAACAACACAGCATACGACACATGATATGACATAGGGCATACAACAATGTACACGGCTCCAAGCAGTTACGAGCCTCTGACCTTTGACCTCTGTGAGTGTCCAATCAAAGACAGCATGTGGCTCCTCCTCCGTCAGGTTCCTGCTCCACCTGGCAGAGAAAACAGACGGGATCATCGTAACCAATGACAACCTGAGGGACTTTGTGGAAACGTCCGACGCCTGGCGCTGGATCATTCAGGAGAGGCGAGTTCAAGAGCAGATTTGTAGCTAAAAGCTAACAGTAGCATAAGACAGAAAGAGAGGTAGCAGCTAAAGAAGATGTCAGAGAGAGCAGTTTTTGAAAGAACTGAAGAGTTGTAGTTTATTGTCAGGCTGCTTCAGTTTGTTTATTTTTGTTTGTTTGTTAACAATTTGACCTGTGTGTTGTCATTTGTCAGGCTGTTTCAGTTTGTTTGTTTGTTTGTTTTTGTTGTTTAATAATTTAACCTGTTGTTTTTTGTTAGACGGCTTCAGTTTTTTGTTGTTATTTAATATTTTGATCTTTATTTATTTATTTATTGTTTTGTTTTTTGATTTATTGTTGTTTTGTTAGCTGCTTCAATGTGTTTATTTTTGTTTGTTTGTTTGTTAATAATTTGTCCTGTTATTTGTCAGCCTGCTGCTTTTTTTTTTTTTTTTTGGTTTGCTGATTATTTGACCTTTTTGTTGTTGTTGTTGTTGTTTTTTCAGGCTGCTCCAGTTCACGTTTGTCGCGGATCACTTCATGATTCCTGACGACCCTCTGGGGAAAGACGGACCGCACTTAGACGTGTTTCTGCGTAAAACCACCAGGTGTGTTTCTCTGAGTTTGTTGTTCCAGTAAATATCCTGTACCGTGCCGTTTGTCTCACCTGCTACTGCTGTTTTCCAGGTGGACTTCGGCCACGCCCCCACCACTGAGACCCCCAGACCTCAGGCCTTCGTCTGAGCAGCAGCAGCAGCCCGTTAACTTTCAGACCACCTGGGCCCCCACCGCTCACTGGCCCCATTCCGGTCCCCCCCAATGGCACCCACCTCGCCGCTCTCCCTCCCCTTCCCCCTCCCCCTCCCCTCCCCCGCAGCGGACAGCCGGGGAGACATCGGAGCTGAAGAGGAAGCTGTACGACATCTTCCCGGACCAGAAGCAGCGAATCGACCGGATCCTGAGCGACAATCCGTACATGAGAGACCTGAACGCGCTGTCGGGGCTGCTGCTGGGATGAACACCCCCCAGGGAGGATGGTTTATTCTTTTACAGAAAGACTTCATTAAACTAGCTGCTATCTTAACACAGTTGTTGGGATGTTTACCTTTAAACCTGACCGAGGTGACAAACACTGCTGTCTGCAGAACCGAACCATTCAGTGTGATCAGGGAGGAAGTTCTGCCTCCTGTGGGAGTAAAGACTCAACCTCAGCAGCTTCGTGCTCCTCCATGTCTGGCGGTCATCAGACTTCTCCTCTTCAGACTCTGAACCTTTTCACGGTGGCACGTTTAAACCCGCCCAGCTCAGGGTGAGTTCAGGCTCCTTCACGGTAAACAGGGTAAACAACCTACAAACTTTTTATCGTCCCACAGTAAAAATAATCCCAGAAGTCAACGTTCAAGTGAGTCAGAGGAACATGTCGAGGCTGGAAACACAACCTGTACTTCCTGTCTAATGGAACATCTAAAGACCGAATCCTCCTGAATAAATTAATTTATCAGATAATAAGAATCTGCTCATTCTGATTCAGCAGAATCCACGTGACACTATAAACGCTGCTGTGGGATGCCCTGTTAAGAAAACATGGCTGCCGTGTCACCCTCCTCATCTTTCCACTGTTTTCCTACAGGAACAGGAACAAACAATCTGCCCTTTCAGTTTTCAGACCAAACATCAAAGAACAAACATGTTAAAATATCTCAGTAAACAAAAACACAAACCCACATTTTCAGGGTTTTTGTGTAAAATAAATCAAGTGGCCAAACCTTTAAATGACACCTTGCCTCAAAGGTTTGTCCCTGGTGGGCTCCTGTAGTCACATGATGCATGAGGAGTAGGAGATGGACACAAATCAATCAGATTTAATATCTTCATCAACACCCCCATGTTCTTACATCGAATCATTCCTTCACTGGATAATTCCCACAGTGAACTGGAATTTACTGCTTTGATCATAGAGGCGTGGTCCATTTTCCTACACTCAAGAAGTTCTGAGACAGTTTTGGACCTCGAGTGGGAGTGAAACACTACAGCTGTTTGGATTTGTGTCGGTTGAGTTGTAAAGATTTTCCTCTGAGGCCACAGACTTTCAGTTTTGTTTGGACCTAAACTAAAATGCACTGAGCAGAAACGTTGGAAACCCAAACCCAGCGCACGGCTGCAGCTTCACATTTCATTTGAAATAATAATTTTTTTTTTTTTTTTTTTTGTCAATAAACATGTTAGAACGGATTCTGCACAGAAACGCTAGAGTTTTGTTTGGACTTTTATTGTTGGTAGAAGTACTGAAGGATTTTTTTTTTTCTTGTATCATAATTCTTCTGTGTATATTGATTTTTTTGTAAATATTCACATTTTTGGCTACAATGCACGTTTGGTTTTATGTATGTGAAAACAAAATAAATGCAGCCTTCCCAAGGAACGTTTTTATCATGTTTTTAAGACCGCAGCTATAGAAAACAGGAACATTTAATTTTGAAGTATCGACATTTAAACTGCAGTAAAGCGTGCAACATTAATGAACTAACAGAAACCTCAGATCTGGAAACTGCATCTAAACCAAGTTGCAGCTTCTTGGTCTCAGAAACCAGAACAGAACTGCTGTTTTCACTGTTTTGTTTTGATCCTTGCAGGACTGGTTCTGATCCGGTCATTGTTGGTGAGTGGTTCAGAGAAACGAGAATAAAAAGACGAAGCTGTCATCTCGCATGTCGTCACTTCTTCTACGTACTGATGACGATGGAGGAAATTATTTTCAAATGAAAGAACGTTTAACAGAACATCTGAACTGAGGCCTCGAGGCAGACGGACGAGATCTGCCCTGAGATGCTGACGGTTCTGGATGTGAGGTTGTCATGGTTGACGCGTCTCTTCAGTGTCGCATGGAGGACTGGGACAACACATACTGTGGCAGACGTGGTGGTTCCCATTTTAAAAAAGGGGATCAGGGAGTGTGTTCCAAATATTGTGGGATCACGATTTTTGTCCTCCCCAGGAAAGTTTACTCCAGGGTGTTGGAAAGGAGGCTAAGGTGGTCATGAGAGTTTGCCTCTCCAGTCTACATGTTTTGTGGACCTGGAGCTGGTTTATGTGTTCCCCAAGGTGTTCTATGGGGGGTTCTGCAGGAGTATGGCAGGGCTATCCGGTCCGGTATGACTAAAGCAGGAGGTGTGTCTGCATTCTTGGGACAAAGTCAAGCGCTTTGGAGTTGGACTCCACCAGGGCTGTCCCTTTTCTCTGATCAAGTTTGTGCCTGAGCCATGGAGTGGAGGGTTTCTGATTTGGCAACCTTTTTATTTCCTTGTAACCTCAAAGTGGCGTTACTGCCCTCTAGTGTTCCTCGGGGGAAATCTCACCACATTAATCATTCGTTCAGCCTTTATTTATACGTATAAATGCTTTTTTGATTCCATGTTTAACGTATCATAAAATATTGCATTCCTTTCAGTAATTTATTTTTAATTTTACCTCTATCTCTCTATCTTTCAATTAATTTTGTTCAATTCAGTTTATTTCTATGGCTCCAAGTCCCAACAGAAGTTGTCTCGGGGCACAAAATCACTCACAATCAATTGGTAAAAGTTCTCTATTTAAGGAAGCAACAGATTGTGCTGAATTTTCACTTCGTCAGAGTCGTCCATCCTGAGCAAGCACAAAGGAGACAGTGGAAAGGAAAAACTCCCTTTAAACGGGTAGAGTAGAGCAAGTAACGACAGCAGCAGAGTGAGGACATGTCAGCCTCACTGACAGAAACTGGAAGTTGGTTCCACAAGAGAGGAGCCTGAGAACTGAAGGCTCTGTCTTCCGTTCTACTTTTGGAAACTCTCGGAACCACAAGTAAACCTGCAGTCTGAGAGTGAAGTGCTCTGTTAGGAAAGTATGGAACAATAAAATATGTAAAATAAGATGGAGCTAGGTTGTTGAGAGCTTTGTATGTTAGAAGTAAGATTTTGAATTCTAATCTGAATTTGACGGCTAAAACTGGAGAGATGTGATCTTTTCCAACAACTCTCATTAAAACTCTGGCAGCAGCCTTTTGGATCAACTGAAGACTTTTTAAAGAAGTTTATGGACACCCAGATAATAAACCATTACAATAGTCCAGCCTATATGTGATAAATGCATGAACCAGTTTTTCTGCATCATTTTAGATAAGTTGTTTCTAATTTTAACGATATTACGCAGGTGGAAGAAGGCAGTTCTGTTAACCTTTTTAATGTGTGGGCCAAAAGACATGTCCTGATCAAAAATAATACCAAGGTGTTTTTACATCAGGACTGTAGACCAAATTAATGTCATCCAGAGGAAGTGAAAGACTGCAAAGTTTATTCCTAAGATGCTCCGGTCCAAAAATCACAACCTCAGTTCATGAACAGAAAATGAAGGTTCATCCAGGTTTTTATGTCTTCAATGTAATGTTATCTGGTAATCTAAGTAAATTATTGGATTTATTGTGTCTCATGGACAAATATAACTGCGTATCATCAGCATAACAATGAAAATGTATCACATGCTGTTTAATAACTTTACCTAATGGAAGCATATATAAAATAAAGAGTAGGTCCAAACACTGAACCCTGCGGAACACCATGATTAACTTTGGTGTATGAATAAGATTAATTATTTACATTTACAAACTGAAATTAATCAAAGAAATAGCATAATGGCAACAGAAGACTGTTGGAGTCAGCCTCCCCACCATCACAGACATCTACACCTTCAGATGCAGGAAGAGGAACGCTTGCATCATGAAAGACCCCGCTCGCCTAGCACATGCGCTTTTTGCCCTGCTCCCCTCAGGCAAGAGGTTGCAGAGTGTAGAACCATTAGACTGAGGAAAAGCTTCTACCCAGAAGCAGATTCATAAATCTCTAACCAGGATAATCACTGTAAGGAAAAAGAAAAGAAAAATCACTGTAATTCCACTTTAATCAGTGATATGTGACTTATCTGTGCTGCTGATTATCCATGCTGCTAATCTCATTCTGCTGATTATTTCATGCTGCTGTATTAATTTGTATACATTTATGCCCATCTGCTCACTACAGACTCATGTTCGGGCTGCTGTTGTTATGCCATATTGTTTTACATTATTAGTGTTTAGCGTACATCTTAGATCTTGTAGCGTGCCATTTAGCATTCGTTTGGCGTAAGATCCTTATATACTGTTTCTTTTTATACTTTATATTTTTTGCTATTTTTGGGTTTAACTGGGACACTGAGTACACAATTTCATTTTACCTCATGTACCACATGGGATGAGAATGACAATACATTTGAACTTGAAATATGATTTAACAATTTTAGAGCCGTTCCTGTAATCCCAACATCATATTCAAGCCTCTGTAGTAGAATATTGTGATCAGCTGTATCAAATGCAGCACTGAGGTCTAACAGGACCAGTGTAGACAAAAGTCCATTGTCAGAGGCCATGAGAATATCATTAGTAACTTTCACCAGTGCAGTTTCAGCGCTATGATGAGCTCTAAACCCTGATTGAAACTCCTCAAACAGATTATTTCTGTTCAGATGTTCGCACAATTGATTAGCAACTTTTTTCTCAAGAAGTTTTGAGATGAATATTAGATCAGATATGGGGCAGATGACTTGACTACAAAATCAATCGGTGATCTACAACCTTGTGTCCAGGTACCAAGTGCACTTACGGACATCCTTATGTTCAAACATGGTGTTCGTGATTGTCAAACCATGACCAGCACAGAAGTCCAACAACAGAACACTGCTTGGATTCAGATCAGAGAGGCCGTTCCTCCCAGTCACACCATACCAGGTCACACTGCCATTAACCATGTGGGCACCGGCGACCCCCGAGACCCAAAAATGGAAGAAGTGGGTAAAAGATGATGGATGGATGGATGGATGGATGGATGGATGGATGGATTGAAGTCCCCCTGCAGAATAAAGGAGTCCCCAGCTGGTGAACCTTCCAGCCCCCCTGCCAAGGACTCCAAGAAGGCCAGATACTCTGAACTGCTGTTTGGCGCGTAGGCACAAACAATTGTCAGAGCCCGTTACACCAGGGAAGTTACCCTCTCATCTACTGGGGAAAACTCCAACACACAGGCACCAAGTCATGGGGCTACAAGTAGACCCACACCAGCTTGTCGCATCCCACCATGGACAACTACAGAGTGGAATAAGGTCCAGCCCCTCTCAAGGAGATCAGTTCCAGAGTCCATGCTGTGTGTCGAGGTGAACCCAACTATATCTACTTGGTACCTCTCAACCTCACGCACAAGCTTAGGCTCCTTCCCCATGGGTAGAGACCTGGTCACCAGGTGCTCGCCAACGAACCCCTCTCCCAGGCCTTGGGTGTGCACCTGAACAACCTCAGCTGGGGCAACAACACCACCAGCCTGATCAAGAAAGCTCATCAGCAACTCTACTTTCTCAGGTGGCTGAGGCGAGCTGGACTGTGAAGCTCAGTCCTCACCTCCTTCTACAGGCGTTCAGTGGAGAGCATTCTGTGCTCCAGCATCAACGTGTGGCATGGAGGCCGCACAGCTGCAGAAAGAAAAGCTTTGCAGAGAGTGGTGAAGGCTGCACAAAAGACTTTTGGAGTCAGCCTCCCCACCATCACAGACATCTACACCTTCAGATGCAGGAAGAGGGCCACCTGCATCATGAAAGACCCCACTCACCCAGCACACACACTTTTTGCCCTCTCCCCTCAGGAAGGAGGTTGAGGAGTATTAAGTGTAGAACCACTAGACTGAGGAACAGCTTCTATCCTGAAGCTGTTGGACTCAGTTAGACCCTAACCAGAAAAATCACTGTAACTGGGACCTTGAGTACACAATTTCGTTCCACCTTATGAACCACATGTGATGCGAATGACGATAAAGAACCTTGAACCTCGAATTAGGCTGAGGGTTTTCCTCCGTCTGCCATTTGTCAACAAAGTGAAATGAGCGCACATACAGCGTTTTGGGTGGTCTCTTCAAGTTCAGATTTTTCAGCCACATTCTTCTTAACTTCTCATCTGTAGGTAGGTAATGGAAACTATTCTGCTTTTCACAGGAACACTCTTTTTGTTTTGGGTCCATGTTCCAAACTGATTTAGTTTGGTCTGGTTTTTCGTGCAGACACGAACAGCACAACAGAACTCTGCAAGGTTATTTTAGTAAACTTTATATTTGTTAAATAAATATGAACAAAACAAAAAGAGTGTTTTATCTGCCAAACTGAATGCATTCATTCATTCATTCAAACTTTATTTATAAAGACTCATTTACAAGAGGGACCTGTTCCAGACAAAAATAACAATAATAACAATAAACTACAATAAAACGCAGTTAAAATAAATGTAGTGTTATAAAACAATAAATCAGGGTGCTGTAAAACAAAGTAAAATACTAAACAAGAACATATTTGCTTTGCAAATTATTTTCAAATAAACCACAGTTCGTGCTCCGCTACCATGGTTAATCAATGCTCACTGCTACTTTCCATGTCTGACAGGAAGTTGGACCCATAATCATTTAAACAGTAGAGTCCCCAGGAATAAGTTGGATAAAGTACCAAAGAACCGCTCTCTGTTCCGGGTGGGCTGGGCCCCCTTGTTTGCACATCCTAACAACGCCTCTGAAGTCACGCGGCGCGCTCCCGACACAAATAACTGAGCGCGTTCTGGGTCTGCTCGGAGCTTCAGGAGCGGCGGAACCGATGATTACACGGAGCAGACGGAGGAAAGACGGAGAGACGACCACCAGGGATCCTGCGTTCATCCCCGCACCGTAAATCCACTTATCTACCCCCTGTGAGCTCCAGGACGGTGGTTCCGAGGTAAGGCGGTGGGTCTGGTTCGGTCGAACATCGGCTTTCTGAGTCCAGAGTCCGTCGGTCAAAACAACAGCAGACGTTAGCTTCCCTGTTAGCATGGTGCTAACGCCGCCGTTGCTAAGAAGCTGTTTATCCGGTTAAAAGTCGACTTGTTTGGGATGTTTTACAGACTGACCGGCCTTGAAAAGAACCGCTGGGATTTACACTTCTCTCAAGGTTTGTGTAAAACACCCAGGTTCTCGTTTTTATCCCGTTTCCACCGACAGAGCAGCTAGCTTGTAGCGCAGGATGCTGCAGGTTAGCGGCAGGATTGGGGCCTGTGTCGGTTAGAGCTTCACCGGCTGTCTACACCGAACCACCTGGACATTTTCATCCAGAAGACGGGGCCTGTGTGTCTGTCTACACCGAACCACCTGGACATTTTCATCCAGAGGACGGGGCCTGTGTGTCGGTTAGAGCTTCGCCGACTGTCTGCACCGACCCACCGGGACAGTTCCCCTCTGCTCAGCAGGAACCAGCCTGGTTCTTGGATCAGGTTTCTGGTCACATTTGGTTAACTGAAGCAAGTCGTGATTAATCCTAACCTCACCACCGTGGCATCAGGCCGAACCGAGCTTGTCCCGTAGGAACTACAGAATTAGTTGTTTACAAGAACACCTGTGTTTTGTTTACATGTAGTAGATGGTTTGTGAAAATCATTAATTTCCTTGAACCTGAAGTTTGTGATGAGGTCAGCTGTTCGACAGGTGATTAGGTAAAGAAAAGGTGAGGGTTTCTGCTACAGGAAGCTATGGATGCATCCAAAATGGATGAAACCGCCCTTACCTCACCTGTGCTCTCTGTCCAGGTGAGAGGTGAGTTTGTAAACGAACTGGTCAGGATGGACTCTGAGACATCCTCATCATCACTGTTGGGATGACGGGTGTTGGTCACACTGACAGGTCCTGGTTGTTTTGTTTGGTGCTGTAGGCTCACAGATGGCTAATGTCAGACTCTGAGACCAGCTACAGAACCTAAGGAGAAACGGACTTGGGGACACCGTCTGATCCTGAAGCTCAGGATAGATTTACTCTTCTGTCCATTTGTCCTCAGTGTTACAGGCTGTTTTCTCTGAAGGTGTGTATGTGATCACTGTCCACCTGTCCTGAATGAGCCAGAGAGGTGTTGAGCTCATCGGATAAGGTCTGAAGGCTCTCACATCTCACCACATGCTGTCTGTCTTGGACGTCTTTTTGTCCTTTTTCTTTAGATCATCTGGCAGGACTGGATGCTGGGATGGTTTTGGGTTTGAAACTGATGTTTTTATTTCTTTGTATTTCTATTTGTGTTTTTTCCTGTGATGGACGACCTGTCTTTCGATGGACGAGCACTGTCACACGCCTCCATCGTCGAGGTGGTTGGACCCTCAGTTGCGGCTGCACGGTTGTTGGTGCTTGTTGTGGCAGCCATCTTCAGACCCAGTGGTGTACTGTCAGGCTGCAGGAGTAGTCCTGTGAGGAGGTTCAGACATCTGGTAACATTGTTTCCCCTAGGTTTCAGTTTTAATAGTTTTCTAACTTAATAATTAATAATGGTCAAATGTGAAAAACAAATGACGACATTTTCAAACATAACCGTCGTAGTGTAAAAGCTCACGTGTCAAAAATATAACTAAAGTGATCAAACTCCTTACAGTTGACACTGAAAGTTTTTGTCTTTATTAACTTGATTATGTTCATAAGGGTGATATTTAAACAAATATATAGCACAGGTGGTAGTCCTTTGCACAGAACAAAATAATTAAAAATTGTCATTTGCCATATTTCTGCCTTAAAATGACTGTTTCCCTCAGAGCATTAAGTTTGAAAGATTTTAGCTCATTTGTTGTCCAAATGAGAGAAGACCCCGAAGAAGACCAGGGCGCTGCTCTTTCGGCTGGCATGGGAACAGTTAGACGTTCTCCTGGTGGACCACCTGAACAAAAAGTCACTCCTGGGCCTCATGGTTGGATGAAAGTGTGAAACAGGATGTGGTTTGGTTCTGATGCTGTGTCTGTCTGTTTCAGAACCAGGGTTATCTATCAGATGTGTTGGACATGCAGGGCCATGTTAGCAGAATCATTAGATTATCTAAAACTGGTTGTTTAATGTGATTAGTCAGCTGACTGCTGTTAGACTACTTCTGTGCAAATAAAAAGCCAAACTTCAGATGTTCTGCTGGTTTCATTACAGAACAAAATGAGTCCTGCAGAACGGGATTTACTCAGGTTTATGTTTTTATTTTTTGTGTGATCAGACATTTTAGAATTAGATGCTGAAACAGAAGTCTGATCCATAACCTGTGGATTAAAGGCTCAGAACAGGGTTTGTCTGAAATTTGAATTTTCTGTGAGCCGTCCCTCTGCTTCACCTGTCACCTGACCACCTGTGCACTTTGCATGCACAAGGCGTGACTCTGGGCTAGGCTTTTAGATGGCAGGGGTTGTTTGAAACAAACCTTCTGAGGTTGAGCCCAATGGGTCATAAGTATCTGGACTTTGAAAGGTTTGCCTCATATTTCCCTTCATAGACCTGATTTTACCTTCCAGGTGCAGTTTTCCTGCAGACGTGAGCCAAAATGTTGCTATGTTAGAACGCCGGGCGTTTGTTTGGTGTTTAGGATGAGCAGGGTGTGTATCTGGACTGATGCTGATGATGGAGGCTGCTCCTGTGCAGTCTGATGGTGGAGGGAGGTCCAGTTTGCTCTCCTGCGTGTGTGTGTGTGTGTGTTTAGATTGATAGTGTGAGTCTTTTGTGTGGATGTGTTTGGGGTGGGCTTGCCTTTTGCTTTTCTCTTCCTGCTGGGTGTCATGTCTCCATGGTAACAAGCTGTTTACAGCTTGCTGTTTTTCCTGCAGTGGAAAGACGGGATGTTCAGCTAAAAGAATGGAAAGCTTCTCTCTGAAGGTACACTGAATGAAATAAAATCCTGAGCATGTCGGCTGTGACCGAACTGTCTTCGACATCATAGAATTTGGATCATGAGGCAGCAGACTGAGGAAGAATTTGTAAATGAACATGTACCAGTGTAGAAGTCTGCAGGTAGAAAATTGTCAGTTTACCATAGTGTATAGAGTACAGACGTGTGTGTGAGGCTTACATTTTATGAATCACAGAGCTCCATGATAAACATGGTGAAGATTCTCAGTCATCCAGGACATGGTCAGTCCAAAAATGATTAAAGGCAAAAACAACTGGACTTCTATTCTGTAGCTGAAGACGTTTTACTTCTTGGTTGAGAACCAAAATGTTCGCCTTTTGGACTGAGAAGACAGATGCTTTGAGGGGGGATGGGGGGTGTTGAAAGACGCCATCTACATAAAAAGAGAAACCAACTTTAAACAGCAGGAGGTCTCAGATTTTGGCTTTCAAGAACCTATAATGCAACTTTAGACCTGATGCCCAGTCAGTTCCACACCAATCAAGACCTTTCTTCATGTGACCGGAGTGGCCCATCTGTGAGTCAGACTAGAGCTGAACGACTTTGGAAAATATTCTAATTGCGATTTTTTTAAATTATTTTTTTAACCCCAATTTAATATGCGATTATTTTTCAGTCTTCTCGTGTATTTTTTCAACGAACACAAACAATAAATTAATCTGTTTCAGTTGCAAAAAACTCCACTGTTTTCAGCTCTGCTGCAACTGTTTTTGCATTTTTTTTGTATAGCTCCGGGATAGCAACGTGGCTAAAATGTGTGCGCGAGGGCATTCTGTACCGCTCATCTATTGTTTGCCAAAACCGTAAACCCAGGCTTGGTCACTATATTATATTAATGGGCATCATGTCTTTTGTTATGAACTCAGTTATTGCTCGAGTTATTTCCACGTGCCGTTTTGAATTGTGTTCATATGGAGTAATACCTTCAAACGGTCCGGTCAGTGATCCCTGTCGACTGGTACTTTGCTTACTTGAAGTTGAAGTACTGGTCATTGGCATTCTAGTCATGCAACTAATGGCTTTGTGATGTTTTTTTAAATGTTGATAAAGATTTGTGGCGTTACTTGGAGAGGTAGCAACAAGGCAGGTTCTGCACAATACATGTGATTGCGCAGCGTCTTCTTTTTTTTTGCCAAAATAATTCAAAAACAACGGACGTGCTGCCCCTCTTTGGTAACTTTCCGATGTATCAGCTTCTGTCGAGCCTGATGCCGTTATGCAACTGGTTAAAATGCAGTTTTGACTTCTCCCACTTCCTGCTCTGCTTTGCTCCACTCACTCGCAAGTCGCATAACCAGATCACGTGACCATTCAAACTGCAGCCTTAGCGATTAGAAAATCTTTAGCATATTGCAATATTACTGCAAATGCAATTAACTGTTCAGCCCTAAATCAGACTAACAAAGACCCTAACAATCCTCTACTGTGTGGAGTGAAAGGTCAATCTGCATGTGTATCTAGCTGACAGAACACCACAGCGTTATAACTTGAACCCCACACTCTGTTCTTTGAACTGAGAAAGCTCCTCATATGAGAAACGAAACATCTTCAGCTACAGAATAGAAGTCCAGTTATTTTTGCCTTTAATCTTTTTTGGATTTTCCATGATGAGCAAGATCCAGCTTGTACATGGAGGCGGCTGGGGCGTTCATACAAATAATATCCCCATAGTCCAACTGCAAACGAGATTTTACTGGCCAGGATGCTGTAGTGTGCATGCGCAACTTCACAGTTGCGGAGCATTTCACACCTCCGCTGGGGGGTTCCCCTGAAAATCTCCACTCTGAGGCTCCCTTTACACGGACATGGTGGGGGAAATGTAGTTTTTTGGATGTTGATTCAAGGGAAAAAAGTCTTTGTTTACATGACTGCATTCAGGGGCCGTTTACACGGCACGCATTTTGAGTGAAACCGCACCTTTCTCTTTGTGGTTCGGCTGTTCGTTTACGCAACATCGTCTCCCCCCCTTGAATCCAGAGGTTTCTCAACCCACCTCTCAGAGTGGATGTTTTCTGTTTGACCTCGTGCTGAAAGTGTGAAATGGCCCGCAGAGGTGTAAAATCACATGCGCACTTCGGGCGTATATTTCACGCACGCGCGGACCAATGGCATATTTCTATCAACAACAATGATGCCGGAGTATAACCTACTGCTTTCTGTGCTTCGACTGGTGGTGGAATATATTTTGGTTCTCGTAGTTGATCTACGCTGGAATGTAGCTGCTGTGACTGACATCCGTGTTGGGAAGAGATGCCGGTCGGATCTAGTTCTATTATCGCTATTTATTGAATGAGGTAGGCGTATATCACGCGTGGTGCTGGGCTATAACATACTAAATGCGCTAAATAATAACAGTAACAATAATAAACAGTATTTCTCATGGTGGTGGGAGATGTAAAGAAGCTATCTGGACATCCTGATGCATGCTCAATAATCCAGGTAGAAAAATCTAAAAGTTAAATCTGGTCCTCTGGACATTCAAATAAACAAAACAAAAAAATTGTAGAAACGTTTCATCTCTCATCCGAGCGACTTCCTCAGTCTGAGGTGCTGTTTTCAGCTCAGTCTCTTAAATAGCACCTTCTCGGAGTGGATCAACCAGTTTTGCTGCTGACAACCAAAACCAGCTGATCACATGCTCAAGAAGGACCATCAGTCTAACAATGGATCATTAGCACACTGATGGCTGTTTACTGTTCACAGAGGGCTGAGTGATACTAGCAATCACAGCATTGTAAGAGGGGGACAGTTGAACCCGGAGGCCTCCACCCCTGTTTAATGATGGACGGTTTCCTTTCACAAAGATGGCCTCCTTTACTCCTCTCTCAAACCATCGTTCCTCTCTGTCCAGGATGTGAACATCCTCATCCTTGAAAGAGTGACCGCTGGCCTGGAGATGAGTGTAGACCGCAGAATCCTGGCCTGATGATGTTGATCTTCTGTGCTGGGCCATCCTTTTGGCCAGTGGCTGTTTAGTTTCCCCGATGTAAGACTGATCACAGCCCTCCTGACACTGAACAGCATACACAACATTACTCTGTTTGTGCCGGGGGACTGGATCTTTGGGATGAACCAGTCTTTAATGTATTTTGGGGTTTAAAAGCCACTGGGACGTTATGTTTAGAAAATAAATGTCTCAGTTTCTCTGATACTCCCTCAACATACGGAATGACCACTGGTCTGGGTCTGGGTTCCTCCTTTTCACCTGTTGGCTGACTGGAGTCCTGTTTGGGTTTCTTCTCTGCTTTCAGGAAGGCCCAGTCAGGATATCCACATTGCTCTAGAGCCTGTCTTGTGTGGGATTTCTCCTTCTGCCTGGCTCCCGAGTTAGTGGGGACGCTGTCTGCTCTGTGGTACAGAGTCCTGATGACTCCTAACTTGTGCTCCAAAGGGTGATGGGAGTCAAACTGCAAATACTGGTCTGTGTGGGTGGGTTTGCGGTACACCTCAGTTTGCAAATGTCCTCTATCAGAGACTGCGACCTCACAGTCCAAGAAAGCCAACCTGCCATTTTTTACATCTTCTCGTGTGAACTTGATGTATTTATCCACAGAGTTGATGTGGTCAGTAAAATGTTGGACTTCCTGAGATTTAATTTTAACCCAGGTGTCGTCAACATACCTGAACCAATGACTTGGTGGTGTCCCTGAAAAGGACGTCAAGGCTCTCTTTTCTACCTCCTCCATGTACAGGTTGGCAACAATAGGAGAAACTGGAGACCCCATAGCACACCCATGTTTCTGCCTATAATATTGCTCCCCATATGTGAAGTAGGTTGACTGCAGGCACAGTTTCAAGAGTTGACACAGTTCTGTGGAAAGCGTGGTCCTGCTGCTCAGAGTGGTGTCTGATTTTAATTTTAAACTGACCACCTCTACTGCATCATCAACAGGAAGTAATGAAGACATCAGGAAGTGATGAGACTTCAAAAGAGACCATTGTTTCATCAGTCTCCATGATGACATCCCTCACCTTATCCACAAAGTCCATGGTGTTCTGTATGTGGTGTTCTGAGCTGCCAACTAAAGGGATGAGCACAGACGCCAGGTATTTGGAAACATTGTAAGTGACAGAGTTAATCATGCTAACAATAGGTCTTAAAGGTACACCTTGTTTGTGGATTTTAGGTGAACCATACAGACTAGGTGTGGCCTCCCCTGGGTACTGCTATCTGGACAGTATGTAATTCAAGCTATGTGACTTGAACTGTTGATGATGTGAAACATCGTGTGTTCTTGAAAATGAAGACATCGGGTTTAATTTTATTTATTCAACATCACAAACTTTCACAGATTTTTTATTTTTTTACATTCAACCTTTATTTAAACGGGTTAGTCTCATTGTGCGTCGGGATTATTATGAAACGTTTTCCTGAGATCTGAGGGGACCTTAACACCAGGTAGACAAAACCCACAGACACCACAGATGGACCCCCCTTGGTAAAACCGAGGGGGTGGGTGGGTAAATGGACTGGGGGCACCATTGTGACCTCACCGACTATTCCACACCTTGCTCTTGGAGTGATCTTTGTTGGTTGACCACTCCTGAGGAGATTAACAATGGTCTTGAATTTCCTTCATTCGTACATAATCTGCCTTGACGGTGGATTGATGGAGTCCAAACTCTTCAGAGATGGTTTTGTGACCTTTTCCAGCCTGATGAGCATCAACAACTCTAATTTTGAGGTCCTCAGAAACCTCCTTTGTTCAGGTCATGATACACTTCCACAAACATGTTGTGAAGTTCAGACTTTGATAGATCCCAGTTCTTTAAATCAAACTCGCACCTGATCGTCATCCCAGGGATTGAAAACACTTGACTCTAATTTCACCTTCAAATTAACTGATAATCCTTTAGGTTCACATACTTTTGCCACTCACAAATATGAAATATTGAATCATTTTCCTCAATAAATAAATGACCCAAGTATAATATTTTTGTCTTAATTTGTTTAACTGGGTTCTACTTTTTAGGACTTTTGTGAAAATCTGATGTTTCACGTCATTTATGCAGAAATATAGAAAACTCTAAAGTCTTCACAAACTTTCAAGCTCCACTGTAGAAGATGTTGCTCAAGTTGTAAACTGTTCTGTTGCTGTGTCTGACTTTCCAATAGAAGAACCACTGCTGGGAAAACTTAGAGGAGCACAGGAAATTTGGGGCAGTATTGTCATTTACAGTCACAGCTGTTGGTCTCAAAACCCGGCCGGTAGAATCCGCAGCCGTCGGGGTCCGATGCAGAGCTGCTGCAATTGAGACTGCTGTCAATGAGACGCCAACTGCTGGAGACTGGCGCTGTTAGCCGCTGGGATCTGATGTGAAGACGACGCTGGTGGAGATCGACGTTTGAGTTGACTCACTTAGTTCTGTGTTTTTACTGTGCATGGGCACCAGTGACCCCCCGCGACCCAAAAAGGAAGAAGTGGGTAAAAGATAACGGATGGATGGATGGATGTGTTTACTGAGAAGTCGGCATGTGTGAGAGAACAAATTATTAAAATGGTCTTAATTGGTTGTAGAAAATAAAAATGTCAAATGTAAGGATTTGAAAGACTGTCCACACCCAGAGGTTTTAACGAGCTTGAATATTTAGAATGAAAACATTTCATGTTTTCCATGAGTCCATTTAGGGACAGAACCAAGTGTCAGCGAGGGCAGCTGGTGGTACAGCCTGCAGCTCGACTCGACGGGGCTGAAATCTGACACTTACACAACCACAGCCTTACACGGGGGCGGGGGGGCTGAAATATGCAGACCTTCCTCTGACATAACTCTGCAGGAAAGTAAAGAGGCCCGGAGAGGAGAGGGGGAGGTCTGATCTGTGAAAACAGAAGTGCAGCGAGGCAGCAGCAAGTCTGTAAGGGTTGGGAGGAGAAAGACGCGTCTGTTTGGGACAAGAGGGAAGAGTGCAACTGAGCATGCTCAGTTTGACTGTCTGCTTAGGTTAACGGTCTTAAAATCAGCAGAGACACCAACCTGACTGTAGAGGAAGAGAAAACCATCTTCCTCCATGTTCCTGTAGATCACCATCAGGACCAGGCTTTGTTTTCCATCATTAACGTTTGTGCGATCGTCTTGTTCCTTCTCAGTCCCGCTCGGACCTGATGGGCTCGTTTGAGGGAACTTTCAGTCAACATAAGAGTTGTGTTGGTTGTTTCTTGGACTGCAGTGGCTCTTCTGACTGGTTGGAGATCTGTTTCCTGTTGCACAGACTCTGCCCTCTTCCCTTCACTACAACTGAAGCTGTTCTGTCACAAAGTTCCTAACTGGGCAGCAGCAGGAGGAAACATGATCCTGTGTTTGGGGCAACAGCGTCAGTTTGTGGGTTTTATTTTATTTTTAAAGGTGTGAGTGATGTGGCACAGGGGGCTACATGGATCTTCTCCATCTATGTCTTGGTCTTGGAGCTTTCAGGATCGAGTTTACATGTTCTCTCCGTGCATGCGCGGGTTTTCTCCAGGTACTCCAGTTTCCTTCCACAGACCAAAAACATGCATGTTAGACTGATTGGTAGCTCTAAATTGTCCCTAGGTGTGAGTGAGAGAGAGAATGGTTGTTTGTCTCTGTGTCCCTGTGATGGACTGGAGACCTGTCCAGGGTGTCCCCTGCCTCTCACACAGAGACTGCTGGACATGGGCACCAGTGACCCCTGTGGCCCGAAAAGGAAGAAGTGGGTAAAGATAATGGATGCATGGTTTCTCTGTTCAGGGGTTTTGTTTTAACTTTAATGCAATAATAAATGGACGTCTGTTTGAACTCAGTGCTGAGGAGAAGCAGAAAGAAAAGTGACAGCCAAGAGACGAATGAAGCTTTTATTTTGATAAAATATGGATTAATGGTGCAGCAGGACTCAGGTTCATAAAGGCTGCCTGAGCAGGATGCGACGGTTTCAGATAAATATTCTGTAAACCACAAGACGACGTCAAACTTTGATCAGACGGTTCTGAAAGCGTTCAGCTGGTCTACCTGTGGACGGTCCAACACCTGTTCAGGTGGTTTCTGATTTTGTTTTTGTCTTTCAGAGGTCCCCACATTTCAGGATCAGACCAAGGCCTAATTTGAAAATCTTATGGACGAAGGTGAGTGTTGGTGTTCCCCCTCCACCCCTCGACTACAAGCTGACATGTCTCATTTCCATCCTCCTTCTCCTCTGTCCTCCACCCTCTACTCCTTTGTCATCCTCCACCTCCTCTTCCTCCATCAACCTTTTCTGTTGTCGACCTCCTCTGTCCTCCACCTCCTTCATCCTCCTCCATCCTTTTCCCCGTCCTCCTCTCCTCCTCTGTAATCGTCCTCCACCTTCTCCATTCTTCACTGTCCCTCTCCCCTTCACCTTCTCTGTCCTCTTTTTTCCTCCGTCCTCCACCTCTGTCCTCCCATCAGTCTGAAACGCACCAACTGTTGACGTCTAAATACTCTCAGAATAGTTGCTGGTCCGGGTCGTGCGCTCTGTTTTGCTGAAGAACAAAGATTTGAGTCATTTTGAGGAACTTCAGATGATCTGAGACACTTCAGTGTTTGATCAAGAAGACGACCGCTTCGTTTTAACTTTGTGACTTGATAGTACTTTATAGTGTAAATTAATAAACTCGTCTTGTTCCTTCAGCGAGGCGCGAATCCTCTGTTGGAAACTACATTTAGACTTCCTCCCATCATGAAGTCTGCTTTGATTAAATCAAAACCCGAACTACCAGCAGCTGGCTCGTCTCAAACCAGGATCAGGATCAGACTCGGCTACCTGAGCTGTAAGAACTGGACCGTGACTGTTGGACGTGCACGCTGACTGACCCTCAGCCTGCCTAACTTAGTCCTTGTCCTGTTAGCGTGCTAGCTGTAATTTTAGTGCTTTAGAGGCGTTTTTACTCAGCAGCTGGAACATGCGAACATCTGCAGCAGAGGAGCTTGATCTTTAAAGACCAGCCTGCTGACAGACACGAACAGTTGTTGTTGTTGTGCATAATAATCCTGAATTTATTTTTCTGTCTTACTGATTTGATTTCCTGACTGAAATCTAAACTTATTAAAGATGAAACCAACGAGACGTACTCTGATGAAGCCGCACCCGTTTCCCCACACACGGTCGTCTACAGACACATCTTTTCTCATTTTTAACAATTCTAATTGAAAGTATAAAATCTTGTTGTTGTTTTTAACCTTTGTGTTTTCCACCTCTGTTTGTCAGAAATGAGTCGTCAGACCGCCACCGCGCTGCCCACAGGAACATCCAAGTGCCCCCCCTCTCAGCGCGTGCCCACCCTGTCGGGCACCACCGCCTCCAACAGCGACCTGGCCAGCCTGTTCGAGTGTCCCGTCTGCTTCGACTATGTTCTTCCCCCCATCCTGCAGTGTCAGTCAGGGCACCTGGTACGTACCATCCAGAAAAGCTACAGAATGACTCTTTATCTGGGGGGGTCAATATGGAACCCTCTTCTTCCTGAAACACTGAGGAATTTGGATCTCCTGGTTTTGTCTCAGGTGTGTTCCAACTGCCGGCCCAAGCTCACGTGCTGCCCCACCTGCAGAGGCCCCCTGGGCTCCATCAGGAACCTGGCCATGGAGAAGGTGGCCAACTCCGTCCTCTTCCCCTGCAAATACGCCTCGTCGGGCTGCGAGGTCACGCTGCCGCACACCGACAAGACGGAGCACGAGGAGCTGTGTGAGTTCAGGCCGTACTCCTGCCCCTGCCCAGGGGCCTCCTGCAAGTGGCAGGGCTCCCTGGACGCCGTCATGCCGCACCTGATGCACCAACACAAGTCCATCACCACACTGCAGGTCAGTCCCTCTCATGGTGGGGTTGAGTGTCCCTCTCACCGCAGGTCTTCGTCTCACGGCGGGTCGTCGTCCGTCTCGGGGCGGGTCGGGTTAGATGGAAGTTTCTTGATTCCTTCAGGGACATTGAAAGCTGCATCTTACAGGTGGTTAAAAAGTGACAGCAAATAAAAATAATGCAGAATAAAATATTAAATTCTCAGATCTAACAGTTAATAATATTTTGTAAGCAGTTATTCTCTGTTCCAGGATCTATCTGCTTCATTAGAATTAAGACTGTAGTTTTAGTTGAAACTAAACTAAACTAAATTTCAAGTTTCAGGTAAATCAACAGGTTCATAAGATAATTATTAATTATTAATCATTTTAAAGTAAACGTGTGTTTTAGAAGAGCTAAAATCAACTTCCTGTTGCAGTAAGAACTGAACAAACTGGTCTGTGTGCGTTCAGGGCGAGGACATCGTGTTCCTGGCCACGGACATCAACCTGCCCGGCGCCGTGGACTGGGTCATGATGCAGTCCTGCTTCGGTTTCCACTTCATGCTGGTCCTGGAGAAGCAGGAGAAGTACGATGGACACCAGCAGTTCTTCGCCATCGTGCAGCTCATCGGCACCCGCAAGCAGGCCGAGAACTTCGCCTACCGGCTGGAGCTGAATGGCCACCGGCGCCGCCTGACCTGGGAGGCCACGCCCCGTTCCATCCACGAGGGCATCGCCACGGCCATCATGAACAGCGACTGCCTGGTGTTTGACACGTCCATCGCACAGCTGTTCGCCGAGAACGGCAACCTGGGCATCAATGTCACCATCTCCATGTGCTGAGGGCGGCGAGGACCCAGGTCCAAGTCAAAGACCCCGCTGACCCCCCAACACAAGGAACTGGACTGTGATTGGGCAGCAGCGACAGCCGGGGGGTGAGGGGGGTGAGTGAAAGACAAACAGCGTGTGAGGCTCGTGCATGTCTCAGAACCCGGACTCAGACTGAGGAGGCGTTCAGGCTCACGCCACGCTCCGTTCAGCGCTCCGTCTTCGTCTCGGAGCCCGTTCTGTTTCCTCTGCAGTTGGTTTCCTGTCTCGTTTTGTTTGTCCTCGGTCCTCTTCACGTCTCCATGTCCTCATATCTCTGCGTCCTCACAGCTGCAAGTCCACGTGGACGCCCCAAAAGCTCTCAGAAACTAGCTTTTGTTTTGTTCAGATGTAAAGCCGGAGCAGGATTGGGACTGTCTGAGATGGACTCGGTCCATTGACACTACGTCAGCTCTGGTTCTGGTTCTTCACGTGTTAACGCCCTTTTTCAGGACCGCGAGGAACACGTTCATCAGAATATAGAAGAGGAACAACACTACATTTCATGGTTCTGTTGCGGCTTTATTTGATCAGTTTGTTTCTTTTTAACCATTTTAGTTTGTTTTTGTATGAAAGGAGCCAAAACTCCTCGTTTGTCAGGAAATCAACTTTTCTTTTTGTTTCTCTTTCCTGTCGGTTCTGCTTCGTCTGCCCTTCTTAACCTCTGACCCAACACCCAACCTGGAACCAAACAGTTCTACGGTTTAAACGATAAGATTATTACTAAATAGAGATTTAATGATCACTTTTTTTGTATTGAATTAAAAAAATTAAAAGGCAGATGTAAAACTTGTGGCTAAACTTCAGTGTTTGTAGTTTAAAAAGCTAAAAGGCCAAGTTGTTGTTCTTCTGAAGGTTTTTCTCCAGAGTTGGGTTGTTATTGTTGTCCTTCTGTGTGAAACTCTGTTCTTTTGTCTGTCGAGGGTCAAAGGTCATCTGTCCCTCTTCAGATGGAGTCTCATTAATGTTGCTACTCTCCCTCGAACACCACGACTTCTTTGTTTTAATTTGTCGTGAAATAAATTTATCTTTTTTATACCTGCAGCTTTTTTTCACTTCTTCACTCGTTTCCATGGTTTTTAGGACCCAGGGGTGGGGGTCTCAGCAGCGCTGGTTTGTTTTGGTTCAGAAGTAGCAGCGTGGGAGCTTCTTGTTATCGTTCTTGATCTTACAAAGTTTTCAAAGAACGTTTCAACCCTCAGACCACAGGAACGTTTATATTCTGATACGAATGTTAAATTCTACCAGGGAAAATGAACCTGCATGTTTGTACGAATGTAAAAACATTTCAGCCGAGTCGAGGGATGAGACGCGAACAAAAGTGGTCATTCTTCAAAATAAAAGCCCCCGCAGACCAACGTAAGTAAAACATTTTGTTATATTTATTACCAGTGGTGGGCACAGTCAAACAAAAAGCTTTGATAACTGGTTTAAAAAAACAAGTGGACGCTAACGGCTAAGGCGACCGTCACTCAGCATCTCCTTCCAGCTGAAGACGGACCAGTCAATGTTTGATTCTATTGGTTGATCTGAAGGTGGGTGGAGTCATTTGTGTCAGTTCAGCCAATCCACACCAGTTGTCCTTCATAACAGGTGGACAGGACTCAAAATGCTAAAGATGCTACATGCACACATGATGCACGTGTGCAGCGCTGCTTGTGAGCGTTGTTGTCTTTGATTCAGAATAAACATAAAAATTCAAGTTAGCGGAAGCTAATTGGTTCAGCTAACATTTCCGTAGTTGGGAAAAACACTTGTCTGCTAAACAAAAACTTAGTTCCTATATTTGCTGTTAGTGGATAAGCAGAACCACACCTGACCTACCACCATATTTCTAAGCAAACTTAATAATTTCTGTGTGGCCCAGTACCAAATGATCCACAGACTGGTCCTGGTCCTTGGCTGGTGGTAAATATGAATGAGCCTGGAGATGTTTGACCTTTGACCCCTGCCGTTTCCACTAGAAAACTGATTCTCCAGTTTTTGAACCATCTGCTTCAGGTAAGATATTGATGCCCTTTCCAGATACCCACCCTTCAGAATGTCTAAACTATCCCTTTAACTGAATACCAGGAACTTGAACTGTCGGCATGTTCTGGTCATGTCCTCGGGGTCATGGTAAGTCCAAAGAAGGTTAAAAAACAAAACTGGATTTTGTTCTGTAGCTGAAGATGTTTCACTTCTCGTCCGATTCCAGAAGTGGACTTCCACACACTCCATACGTTCTGAGCTGATAAAGCCTCCAGGATGGGAACAGAACATAAGTCCACTTGTTGGTTTTTAAAATTTCTTTTGGATTCTGGCAAAGCTGCTGCCTCTCAACGAGAAGGTTGCCGGATCGAATCCCGACCGGGGACCTTTCTGGAGTTTACGTTCTCCGTGCTGTGGGTTTTCTCCAGTTTCCTCCCACAGACCAAAAACATCCTTGTTGGGTTCACGGTAACTAAACTGTCCCTAGGTGTGAGTGGTCATTGTCTCGTTTGTCTCTACGCAGGGACATGAGGACGTTGTCCAGCAGACAATTTGGAGAAACTCTGAACACAGGTTGTCTCATGTTGATCCCTGCTGTGTGGAGATCTGTCCAGGGTGTTCGTCCCCCGTCCAATGACTGACTGCTGCCGGACATGGACACCAGTGACCCCCTTGATGGTCGGATTCTGGTGGCTCGGTCCACCTGGGGTGTGAACAGTGCCCCCTGCTGGCTGGACCACTAACTACAACCCAACATTAACTCTGAAAACATGGATCCATCCTAATTATTGAAATTTGATTTCTAAAACCTGATTAATGAAACCTGATTAAGGAATCCTGATTAATGAAACCCGATTAATGAATCCTGATTAATGAATCCTGATTAATGAAACTTGAATAATGAAACCTGATTAATGAATCATGATTAATGAAACCTGATTAAGGAATCCTGATTAATGAAACCCGATTAATGAATCCTGATTAATGAATCCTGATTAATGAAACTTGAATAATGAAACCTGATTAATGAATCATGATTAATGAAACCTGATTAATGAAACCTGATTAAGGTATCCTGATTAATGAAACCCAATTAATGAAACCTGATTAAGGAATCCTGATTAATGAAACCTGAATAAGGAATCCTGATTCTCAGAGCACAGAGTTTTAAAAAGGTTTGACAAATTAAAACCTTTATTTAAACAAAGAGGAGGAAGCTGTTCAGAAATCACAGTTGGATGTTCTTGTTGAACGATTAGATCCTTCAGTCAGTTACAGACCAATATCAAACACATTTTATTAAACACATTAATATTAAACACATTAATATTAAACACGTTAATATTAACGAGACGACTTCTGTTCTGACTTGGCGCTATACGAATAAACTGAATTGAATACAGATTAATGTGAAAACGCCACCTTTAAACTGATTCTGTTCAGGATTTGATCTAAAACACGACGTCAGTCTTCAGGTGTTCATGAGAAAATAAAGAGGCCACCACTCAGGCAGCCAGACCAGAACCGGGTTGGATTCTTCAGATGGGTCAGGATTTTGTTGTCGTTTGGACCTCGGCCCGTCTCTCTGGCCTCCTTCATAGTTTACTGCTGAGCTGAGGGTCCGATCGTCTCCCGCTTGTCCCTGGAAACCCACCGTCAAAGGAGGCGTTCAGAACCTCCTCCAGATTTCCGGTCAGAACAAAGTCTAGGTCGGATCGGACGTTAGCGGGAAGCTCCTCCAGGTCCTTCTCGTTGCGTTTGGGGAGGATGACCCGTTTGACTCCGGCTCGATGCGCTGCCAGAACTTTGTCTTTGATCCCGCCCACCTGCAGAAGAACATTTTCAGATCCGATCAATGACTCAAGCAGCGCACGGTCTTGACTCCAGCTGAGTCAACAAAGAGCCTACGGATGTGATGTCACTGCTGAGGCCACGCCCTCTGGGTGTTAATGACCTCCAACCCCTGACCCGTACTGGATCAGACAGAACTCTGACTGCAGAACTCACCGGCAGAACCAGCCCTCGTAGCGTGATCTCTCCCGTCATGGCCACGTCAGATCGGACCAAACGGCCGCTGAACAGAGAGGCCAGGCACGTTACTATGGTAACGCCAGCAGAGGGGCCGTCCTTGGTGACGGCTCCAGCAGGGAAGTGGAGGTGGATGTCCGTCCCTTCCAGCGGATCAGAACCGCCCACCACTGCCCAAAGACAAACATGTTCATGGTACACCGTACGCTCCGGGTTTTCTCACCGAGCACTCGGGCAGAACTCACTGTTGGTGAGTCGGTAGGTTCTGGCGTTGGCTCTGAGCCAGCTGATGGCGAGGTGAGCTGATTCCTTCATCACGTCGCCCAGCTGACCCGTCAGAGTCAGCTGACCCTCCCCCTCCGTCCGACTGGCCTCCACGAACATGATCTCCCCCCCGAGCGGGGTCCAGGCCAGACCCAGAACCACGCCGGGCAGTGTGAGCCGCTCTGAGACCTGCACAGGTACAAAACCACCGGAAAGACTGGTTTGGACCGAGTTCATCATCATCAGAGGAAGAGGAGGCAGTGAGGGGAAAACAAATGGAAGCTCCGGGAAGTTTCCTGTGTCTGACTCTGATCTGAAGACCTCTGGAGGTCCATCAGAACCCTTGCTGATGTCGTTACCTCCATCTCAAACAACGGCGGTCCCAGGATGTCCTTCAGGGCGACGTGATCGATGACGATGGGCATCTCAGGCGGCGCCGCTTTATCTGAGAAACAAACCGCATCTGATCATCTGCACAAAATAAACCCAACGATTCTGAACATTTTCCTTTCATTAAAGACCAGAGTTCCTGAAGGAATGCTTATCGCCCGCCTCCTTCCAACAAAGCGAGTTAGTTCTGTTGTTTGGGTCAACATCATCATCATCACCACCATTTGGCTGATAGAACCCACTGAGATCAAGATCTCTGTTCCAAAGGTGACGTGGCCAAGAGGTCAGCCGTGCACGCCACAAAAGAAGAATCAAAACAACGGTACGAAGGATTACAGCCACTTCCATGGGTTCAAAGTGCAAGGCAGCACACAGTTACGATCTGAACAGTGACTATAACACAACAGTTAAAGTGCAAGCAATAATTAAAAACACAGGTAACAGTAACTTCGTTCAGACGTCTTACTAACACTGTCTGTTAGGATCGAGCTGAAGGAGTCCCGGCAGGTTCAGATCAGTCTGTAGGCCCGCACGGGTGTCAAACTAATTTCCACCGAGGACCACATCAGCATAATGGTTGCACTCAAAGGGCCAGATGTAACTGTAAGACAGTATAAATGTAACTAAATGTAATGTAAAATAAACACAACTACCCCTTAATGTTAAATAACTGAACTTTTTACTTATTCAACTTACAACTATTACACATTTGTATATTTGCATGGATGTAGAAAAATATGTCTGCTGTTATAACTTAAAACCTTTTAACTTGCCAGGTTATGAAACCCACATTACTCCATAAATCAATTATCAAAGTGATAAGAAAAAAGTTATGACATTAACTTTGTTCAAAACTTTGTTGTCATAATTAAAAGGGGCAGAATGGTCCAACAATTGTGCGCTGCTAAGACGTGACCGGTGTAGCATTTTACAAAAAACAAATGGCTGCACAGCCATGCAAGGGTCAAACATCCAACTAATGACAGATGGTATTATTATAAACATTTGACTGCATAAACACATAAACCTGAAATCCCAAATACATCGCTACAAATTTAACATAATATAATAAAAGACATTTAATAAGTATAATAAACTCAAAATAACATTACGGTCGAAGGCCCACTTTGACATACGTGTTTGGTGTCAAAATGTCGACATTGTACTCTGACGACCACCGCTGCCTCATAACACAAAAGACATGGCGGTTTCTCTCCTTGAAGCACAAACACATACAGTGGTCCCTCATTTATCGCAGGTGTTTGGGACCACGCCCACCCGTGAAAAAAAAAACACGACGTAGGGATACATTAGTCCAAGTTCAGTTCAAGTTCAGTAAACTTTGTCATGACATGTGCCAGGCTGTAATCACACTCCTGTTACTCCCAATCTCCTCGTCCTCTGAGCTCTAACAGAGCACTGGGATCATTAAAGGCGGCGGGCGATATGCATTCCCTCCTCGAGCGTCAGTTTCTGAGGAGTGAACTCAAACTTTGGACTCACCATCCTGCGGCGGCGATGACTCAGACCTCGGCGTCTCCGGGACTTTCTGAGCTTCGGCGACTCTCACGGCGACGGCTCGACACACGGCTCCGATCTTCCTCTCCAGCGAGCGAACGCCCGCCTCCCGAGTGTACCTGAAACACCCGACAGATCCCACCTGAACCTTTACAGACCGGCACATCCAGCAGCCTGACCTCTGACCTGCAGTGAGGTCAGAGGTCAGGTCTTTACTGGTCGTGTTCCAGATTATCCAGGTCAGGTCGGTGTGAGTGACAGCTGTCAGTCATCTCAGGAAGACGTCCACCCAGAGGTGCGGCCTGCCAGGAAGTACCTGCTGACGATGTCCTTGGTGGAGTCGTGAGGGATGAGCAGCTGCTGAGGAGTCAAGCCGTGCTGCTCCAGCTGGTTTGGGATCAGATGACGGTGAGCGATCTCCACCTTCTCCTCCTGGGTGTACCCTGAAAACGATCGGGGTCAACCTGAAGCTCACGGGCCGTTTGTTCAGAAAACGTCCCTCAACACAAGACGTTCTGGACGGGTCCACATCTGCTCTGACTGTGGTGGCCCACACGTCTGGCTCACCTGGAACCTGCAGAACCTCCATCCGGTCCAGCAGCGCCGGGGGGATAGTGCCTGTGGTGTTGGCAGTGGCGATGAACAGCACCTGGGAGAGGTCAAAGGCCACGTTGAGGTAGTGATCTGTGAAGCTGTGGTTCTGCTCCGGGTCCAGAACCTAATGGTTGACAGAGGGACACCTTTAAATGTAACACTGCAGGAGACCGGAACAAAAAAACAACTAGAACTTCCACAGATTTGGGTTTTTAAATGGGCCGTGACCTCTGACCTCCAGCAGAGCGGCTGCAGGGTCGCCCTGAAGACTCTTCCCCAGCTTGTCCACCTCATCCAGCAGGAAGACGGGATTACGTACGCCCACCGTCTTCAGACCGTTGATGATTCGACCGGGCATGCTGCCGACGTACGTACGCCTGGAGACAAAACCAGAACCAGAACCACTGAGCAACTGCCTCCAGAACCTCATTTCAAAGACTCAAACAGGTTTCAGTTACCGATGACAAGAACACAGAGAACAAGGAGGCAGTGGCGCAGAGGTTAGAGAAGGTGGGCCTGTGATCGGAAGGTCGCCGGTTCAACTCCCCACACTGACAACATTAAAAATGTAGGTGAAAAAGGTGAAAAACCCACACCTGCCTCCACCCTCATTTTCCCCGCTCTGGGCCCCTGAGCAAGGCCCTTAACCCCCACCATCTGCTCCCCCGGGCCCAAGCCCAACAGGTCCCTCTTGAAAATGAGTCCTTGTGACTACCTGTATATATGAACCTTAAAAAAATAGGACCCAGGTCCAGGTCTTTGACCTTAGACCTGCTGACTGAGGCCTGTAGAGTTATTGCAAGGTCTGACCTTCAGGGTGAATCAGCTGTTTAAATGTTTCCATGTGTGAGTATTCTTTCTGCAGAACGAAAGACTCTAAATGACCTTTGACCCTTCTCAGATTGACGGACATCAGCTGCTGCTTCTCTGAGGTCATTGCTGTTGTCTTTCCGTTTGTGTGGCGTTCCTGCCTGATCGATTCTAATAAATATCAGTTAATTTGACCCAAATCTTCACAGGTTCTGCGTCCGCTCTGTTGTCTTCATGCTGCGCTCTGTCCGTCCAGCAGGTGTCCTCCTGCTCGTACTGTCCGTCGTCTCTTCTCTTTACTGAGTCACGTTTCCCCATCACTCGTGTTCTGGTCTTAATGGACCTTCCTACAGAAAAATCACGGAGCTGGAATATTTCAAGAACTTCCTGTCAGCTCGGGACACCGTCTCCCTCTCATGTCCTTCATATTCACCAGTCCTCATGGTGTTCTGTCCTCATCAGTCCACAGCACAAATAAAGACGGGTCTTTGCAGAACCTCAACCCTTTCTTTCCATCAGACCTTAAATCAGAGGCAGGTGGAGGCTCAGGTGGTTGAAGTGAGTGGTGAAGGTTTCCAGCTGGCCCGTTCTGAGCACGTCTTTAACGTCCATGTTGACAGTTCATAGCAGCTCTGTCTGTCAGTGTGAGACGTAAAGCCAGTCTCGATCATCTGTCCTGGAGTTTGGGATGTTTAAAGCTAAAGAAGATTGAAGATCAAAACGGTCTCCTTTTAAAATCCTTTCTGGACCTGCAGAGGTCAGGATTCAGATACCCGACCTGGAAAACCCAGACTCCCCATCAGGTGAGGGTCTTTACAGCCCGTCCACCTGACTCCAAGCGTACCTGTGTCCTCTGATGTCCGACTGGTCACAGACGCCTCCCAGAGCAATCCGGTGAAACTCTCGTCCCAGAGTCCGGGCGATGGAGCGTCCCACGCTCGTCTTCCCGACTCCTGGGGGTCCGACAAAGCACAGGATGGGGCCCTGAAAACACCATAGCAGCAGCAGAAAACAAAAACATGTCACGGTGCGTTTTCTCACCTGAAGATGTCTGTGTGTGAGGTGTCAGCAGGAATCTGGAGTTTCTTACAAGCTGGACCACAAATCATGAATAAAAAGACGTTTCTGAGGACATCAAATCTCAACTCAAATAAATAAATAAGAATAAATATTTGATTTCAGAGGGGATCTCATTACATCTCTGCTTCAGAGTCCTGGGTTCAGACTTGAAATGAAGCAAGTTGCTCGGAGCGTCACTATAAAACCACACCATGTTGTCTCATGGCCACTCGGCAGGAGACACGTTGAAAACCCTGCAGCTCGTCCTCACGCTCCGAGACACTCACCTTCAGAGACGTCTTCAGCTGTCTCACAGCCAGGTACTCCAGGACGCGTCTCTTCAGCTTGTCCATGGCGTAGTGATCGTTGTCCAACTGTGTCCGAGCGGCGCTGATGTCCAGGCAGTCTGAAAATCAGCGCCTCAGTGAGACAGGTGGACAAATCTGTGGACGACTGGATTAAAGACGTTCCTCAGATTTCAATTATTTCTTTGAATTTGTTTTATTTAACGGCAGATTTCTGTTCCAGTCAGAGCTGCATGAAGTCAGCAGACAATGCTGCTGCAACGGAAGACTGAACGTTTCATGTCAGCTTCACTGAAAACATCACATTTACAGTTGGAACTCGATAAGACACTCAGCTCAGTGAAGATCCAAATCAGACAGGGTTCTAATGAAACGTTCAATCTGAGAGACGCAGATTAAAGTTAACCTTTGGTGCTCTGGTTCCATGGCAGCTCCACCATCAAGTCCAAATAGTTTCTGGTCAGAGCGAATTCAGGCATTGACTGAGGCATCTTCTTCAACCTGGACAAAAATCAACAAGTTCAGATCAAACACCAGTCTGAACGAAAACACCATAACGAGCTCAAAGTACCGCTGGTCTGACTCAAAACACCTTAACGAGCTCAAAGTACCGCTGGTCTGACTCAAAACATTGTAAAGAGCTCGAAGTACCGCTGGTCTGACACAAAACACCGTAAAGAGCTCGAAGTACCGTTGATCTGACACAAAACACCTTAACGAGCTCAAAGTACC